CGGGGCTTGCTGTGAACCATCAGCGTTGTCTGCTTGTAAAATGTTGGATTTGCAAGACGTTCCTCTTGCCCTGCCAGGTTTGCCCAACAAAAGTACTCCTTCATCTACAGATTCAGACTGCAACAGGTAATTTACTTTTAGGGAGTGCTGGTATGAGACAAAAGAGGTCTCAAGAACTACTTGTATGTGGGCAAACATTTTGCATACAGGTATCATGTATTCTAGCACTCTGAACTATCTAGGCAGAAATATGCTGTTCCCATCCATCACCGAAGGGAACACATCCTCAGGATGTGGATGGCTCCATGGAGCACTGGCACAGCTCCAGGCTGGGACAGACAACATTTTACTCCACCTGATCCAAGAGCTATTTAACTTCAGCGATCAATGGGAAAAATAAGGATGATTTAAACACAGGTATGAATGGCCAATTAGTAAAACATATCCCAGAGTAAAGTCACCAATGTCCCCTCCACAACAGCTTTCTCCAGATGAGTCACATACTCCATTTTTATAGAAAATAACCCACTTAAAGGCCAGCTACGATGCTGAATAACAATCCCCCTGCTGAATGCAGGTGAAAGCTATCCAACTTGAAAGAACTGAATGAAACCACTTTGCTTTCAACCTACACCACAGCTACACGTTTTTAGAACAGTCCTGCAAATACACGGCAAATCAGCAGCGCATATATTAGTTGTACAGAGATCAGGAGCCTGATTTGTCATTCTAGGAAGAGCAGGACTATCTGGTGTCTATTCTGGTCAGCCCAGCCTGGATGCAGAACAAGAGGATACTTTTTCAATGGAGAGTAGTTTACATCCTTCAAGGTGCTAGCTTGTGTCCTTCAAACATGCAAAGAAACTTTCTGGAGAACTGAAGGAGAACAACACCTGAGACACCTATTCCACACAAGAGAAAAATACATTTTTTAATTATGATGAATAGTTTCAGCTCTGCCTACCTTCAAAAATAAGGGCAGCAAAAGAGTGAAGCACTACTGACATATGCTCCATGAGCACTCCACAATGAAACCTACGCTCAAAATCACTTGATCCAAACTCCAAACCACGCACTTTAAGCATACAGGTATTAGCAACAAATACAACAAAAGTGCTTATTAAGTGCATGCCTTGCAGAGGATATACATGCTACACCTTGTTAATTTTGGGCTGCAGCATCCCACTGTTTTGTTAATTTGCACATCAGATGTCCAGTTGTTCCTCTCACATCTCCCACTGACATTTTTTTAGTGCATTTCTCTGTAATCAAGGCACATTCATGATAGAGGATGTGAAGTTCAGACAAGAAAAACTTATCCTAAAGTCAGAGAAAAATTAACATCACAGAAGCTCCACCACATCACACTGCTTGCCATCTATCCAGAAGGAAAGCGTCAGGTAATAGAAACTGCCTGTGAAATCAAGAGGGAGGGGAAAATATTCTTCTTCACAATGATGTCTGAAAGCAACCCCATGCAGAAACACTCTGCATGGCTGTGCCTGGGAGAAGAGAGGAAGCTACAAGGTGTACAGGAACACAACGTATGCAAACCACTGGAGAACCAAAGGGAAAGAGAAGCAAGAATACCACTGAAAAAGAAAACAAATGAAAACAGGGAGCCATCTCCTGCACTCAGATATGAATATGCAGCTCCCGGTAACCAGAAATACGAGGCCAAATTCTGCCCTCACATTCCTAGGAAATCCAAAGTAAACTTTCCTTCCGTGTTTGAAGACGTAATGGATATTGGAAGGAACACGCGTCTGAAGCAAACTTCCTGGTAAAAGTTTTAATTAAAGCCTTCTCCTGTGTGCAGGAGCTGGTAGGGCCACATGAGAGCAAACCACCAGAAGAGCTGCAGGACTCAAGTGGAAGTGGTGGCCAGCATCAGTTCCCTGCACTGTTACACCAACACAAAAAACTTCGGGAAAGAATAAGAGTACTGTACAGTCTAGCAAGCACATCACCATTGCTCACTCCCAGGCTAGCCAGTTACATCACCTTTCTTGCCCAACTGAATGTTGTGTTGAACACAGCTTGTATCTTTGCCATAATCCCCACTAAAGGAAAACCACAGAAAAGTTCAACATACTTCCCTAAAGAGAGTGTGATAAAGTTTAACCATAGAATTGCAAGAATAAAGTTGAGGAAAGGGAGTTAAGTGACATATTGTAACAAACCCAGTATTCAACAAGTACTACAGGTTTAATGTAATCTTTGCACCACAACTCCCAATTCTCTTGAGATAGAATTGACCTAATTTTTATTTAAAAGCAAACTGAAGTATTTATAAACAGCCCTTTGAAAAAGTATTCAGGTGCAATTTAACTGTTTAACATCTATAGTGATTTTGACTTGGCAGGTCAACTCTAAAGCTCATGTGTTTGAAGCTTCTTTATGAGATCCTAGGGAAAGAGGATAGTTGGATCTGACAAAGTAAAACTTCTAACTGCTGCCAGCCAACCCTCCTACACACCAACAGATTAAATCAAGTCTGAAAAAATATACACAGTGTGAATTAGCCAACATCCTAACTAGTTCTCAAATCGGAGAATATTTATCAGCCAAAGGAAATTCTACAGCAAATAAATGGCTTCACAGTGGAGGGGTGGGGGGAGTAGGTCATACCAGATCTTAATAAAAAACTGGGCATACTGTAATTGCACACAGTAATTTGATGAAAACCGGTTGCCCCACCATGTCTGTGTCTTTCACTACTTTGCTGAGCTTTCTAAAGAGGAAGTTTGATAGATTTCTGATAAGTGTTACTCAAGTAAGCCTTAATGAAGCACAGCTTTTAAATGTGGAAAAGTGTCATCAATTTGTCAAACTGCAACTTAAAAGTCAAGCTCATCAGACACCTTGTATTTCAAGTAATAAATTATCAATCATAACTCGTTAAGTGTCTTTACATCAGTCATTTAGCTAAAAAATTCTGACGAATTTCCCCAACACCGACTTGTACGTCACATACTGTACCACTAAGAGCAATAGATACCACAAAGAACTCTGACCTTCCAGGTCTTCTCAATACACGACACTCCCTCACAATGCTCAATCACTCCTGCTTTCAGTTATATTTATTCATAAGTCATACAAATATGCACGACAACATGATGGTCCATTGAATATTTTAAATACTTTCTCGAATTCTCCAAACAACAGCAATTTAAAAAGCGGCAAATATGAATAGAAAGCTGATGAATTAAATGAATTAAAATTAGAAGCTATTCATAAGGGTCCATTAAAAGCTAAAGAGAAGTACAATGTTCTAGACCCAAGGATCACATCTGCAAGTAAGGCTCTTAACCTGAAATCATCAACTGCTATCCCTCTTAATAGCCCTTTGCAGATAAAACATCCTACTACCTCAACAAACAGTTTGAAAATTACTATTAAAAAAAAAGTAATGGCACAGGAGAGAAAGCTGCTCAAAAAAGCTCTCAAAATGAACATCAGCATGGTGGCCAAATGAAAATGACTGAATCTGCTACAAGATACAACCCATATGGGCTCCTACATCTCATTAAGGCTCTCCTACAAACACCCATGCACATGCTTGATGCCACGCTGCGAGAGCTCCCCGTGACTGCAAGGCTACGTGCTGTAGTAGCACACACAGTTAAAGACCAGGCAACTGCAGGATCAATGTGTTTCACCTGAGCACACAGGGAAGCCAAAGAAACAGAAACCCACAGAAATCAAGCGTGCTGTGAAGGCTTAGTTGCATGACAACAATACTGAACAAAACAAGTGAGAATCAGCTCTAGGTGCATACAGAACACTACTGTCCCAAAAGCTCTACCTTATTCGATGCTACAACTATGGTATTTAAAATGCTTAAGTTCAAGATCTCTGTTTATTTTGTAAAAAGTAGAGATACTTGTAACCAACATGCATCCTAAAAACATACAGTAAAGGGCTACAGTGCTCTCTGTTGCTGTAACTCGAGAGTTTCAGTGGCCCAAAAGCATGCTCTCCATTAACAATGCAGGCACTTCACATTGTCTAAAGCACAGTGTGAACAATAACCAACCAAACACGCTTTCACCTCCTTTGTCAGTCGAATCAAGACAGCTAAGTCATGCAAACAGCCTGCTGATGAGAGCATCTCAATATGCCACTGCACTCAAAGGAGGAAAATGATGCCTTTCACAATGGAAAAGACTACTTCCTTGGCAGAGCAACGGAATTCAAATATACAAGGTACAACAAGAGCAAAATCAGAAGTCAATAAAAGTAGAACAAAACAGAAAAAGAAAGAATAAGCAGAGCACCACATGCCTATTTTAGCGCCAACTGGTATTTCCAGGGCTAACTTTCTGAACCCATTAACTGGGAGAGTGCAAGTTTGGGCGGGGGGGGGGGGTATTTAGATTAAATTAATTAAATTACTGTACACCAGCTTCACCATCTCACAAAGACTTCCACGGTTACCCAGTGCAAGGCAATCAGAGAGACCCAGCAGCTAAAGCTTTCAGAAATCCGCACCATTCCCACACCAAGCATAAAGCCGATCCCTTTCAGATGACAAAAGACACTGAGAGATCAACATCTCGGGAAGGGAGTTGTTGTTCTCATGGCATCAGCCGTTTCCTTTCTCATCCCCTAATCCTCAATCGTTTCTACTCCTGTAGAAAACACAGGTAAATCTCCACCCAGACCATAGAAGACCATGTGCCCCAAACCACGGTCAGAATGTTTTTGGCTGGCTGAGGATCTCCACAACATCCTCAGTACATAAGCAACAAAAAACGCACAGAACAACAAAACGATTCAGGTCGCTGACACATCCACAGAACATGTCTTCAAGCTCCAATTAAATGCTTGAAAGAGAATTTTTAAGATCCACAAGCTTTTGAACGGGGACAGAAGGGGCTGTAGCGGGGAAAGGGGGGATGCAATCAGCCGCTATCCAGGGAACACGGGGAAAAAAAATCAACAAGTCGGCGCAGCCCAGCATGGAGCAAAAGCCGCGTCGGAAGGTGCGGACGTACCTTGTGGAGGTGCCTTTCCTGACATCGCAGATACTGCACTTGAAGGCTTCGGCGCTGTTCCTGAAGGTGCACACGCTACAATCCCAAAAGCCTTCGTCGGCTGCAGGTTTGGCTTGCCTTTTCGGCCTTGAGGAGGGGGAGGGAGAGGGGAAGCGTGTGAGTACGTGTGTGTTTGGGGAGGAGGAGAGAGGCGGCGGAGGGAGGAGGGAGAGGAGGAGGAGAGAAAGAAAACACACACATGAGAAACCATGTTACAGAGCCCCGAAACCCAGCGCCTGCTCTCACCGCCGCTCCCCCGCCCCGCGCCCGGGAACTGCCGACAAACACCTACCGGAGCCGGCGCCCGGAGAGGTGCGGTGCGGCCCCGCGCTCCGCCCCCGGCCCCGCGCCGCGGGAGGGCCCAGCCGGGCCGGGCCGAACCCAGCCGGGCCGGGCGCGTCCCCCTGCGCCCCCCACACAACGGCGGGGGCCGCCCCCCTCCCCTCGAAGAGAGGGTGGGAGAGTTTGAAGGCTGGGAGGCGCGTTCCCTCCTCCACCTTGTTAAACCTCCCTTTGTCTGGGAGCAGCGAGTGCGCGGAGCGGGAGTGCGAGCGAGCGGAGCCGCCATGGCTGCTCTCGCACCAGACCAGCCCTGGCACCGGCGGCAGGCAGGGAAACACCGGCACTGCTCCTCCCGCTGCCCTTCCACGCTCCCTCCATCTTAGGAGCCTCCTTCGCTCCCTCCCCGCCTGCAGCCCCCCCTCCGCCCCGACCCCCCGCGTACCTGCCCGGCTGGCGCGGGCTTCGCCGCCCCCCTCCCAGCGTTCCCTCCATCTTAGGAGCCCCTCGCCGCCCCCCCTTGTCCCCCCCCCGCGGCGGAGCACACGCACGGAACTGCCAGGCAGGGGCCTACCCACCGCCATCCCCTCCCGCCGCGCCAGCGCCGAGCCGGGCCGGGCCCGCCGTCGCCGCTGGGGCAGGGTGCGGAGCAGGCAGGGGCGGCCCCTCCGCGCTCCCTCCATCTTAGGTGCCTCTCCCCGCGCCCCCCGCGCCCCCGCTCACCTGGTCGGGCTCTTCTTGTCGCCCATGACCATGGATCGGGGCCGCCCCTGCCCTGCGCACAAAGAAAGAGGCGAGGGGGAGGGGAGGGGGACGGGGCTGCCTCCGTCCAGCAGGCTCCGGCTGCTCCTCACCCCCGCGCCGCCGCTCCTGCCGCTGCCAGGCTCCGCTCCAGACTAGCAGCACAGCGCAGCCCGGCGCCCTCCCTCCTCCTCCTCCCTTCTCTCCCTCCCCGCGCCGCGCCGCTCCGGCGGGCGGAGCTCACCGCCGCGCCGCGGCCAATGGGGGCGGCCCCGCCGCCAGCCCCGGCGGGGAGGAGAGCGGGGAGCGCCCCCCGCGCCGCGCCGCCCCCGGCCAGGAGCCCCTTCGGGCCGCCTCCCGCCCTCGTTCTCCTCAGCGCCGCAGGGGCTGCCCCCCCGCAGGGGGACCCTGTCGCAGCGGGAGGGCTGGCTCCTCTCAGCCGGCGGTGGCGGGTGGCCCCTTCCTTTCCCCTCCCTTCCCTCTCAGAGGGCTAGTCGCCTGCCCGTCCCCGGGGCAGCGGGGCCGAAGCCGGTGGTGCCGCCGGGGCCTGCTGCGGGTGGGAGCCCGTCAGGGGAGCGCGCGGCCGTGCGGTCCCGTCCTGCCCGCGGGTGGGGCGGCAGGTACCGGTGGGGGACGCGCGGGCCCGCTCCGTGCGGGGCTGGGCGGCCAAACCCCTGCCTCGCCCCGCTGGGCCGCTGCGGTCGCAGTCACCCGGCAGGGCTGGGCGCGCAGGAGCGAGCTCCTGCTCCGGGCCCTTTCCTCGGGCACGGGGCCGCTGTGCCGCCACGGAAACCTCGGCTGCCACCTTTGTGAATCGCCTTAACGCTCTGGGTCAGGTCACCAACCCGAGCAGAGCCGAGGGCGTTTATATAGAGCGGCCGAGGTCTTCCAGGTCAATCCCTCCATGATCTTTCAATTCCACCGAAAGCACAAGCCGTGGTTCTGCAAAACTCCCGAGGTTGCAAAAAGTGGTGTTTCCCAGAAAACGACAGTCCTGCCCCAAGTTTCCCCCCTGGCTCTTGAGGTCTGTGGAAACACTGGCATGGTGGGCTGGGTGTCAGTGTGCCAAGGACGAGCCCCTGCTATCTTTGCTGAGCCTCTTTCCAAGCAGGGCTGGTTCCACAGCAGCAGCTGCAGGAGGAGATGGGAGCACTGAACAGCCGAGGAAGGACGGGTAGTGAGTGATGAGTAAAGACAGAAGAAATCGGTTCCACCACTCCTAGCTGCACGAACACAAGCCTTGCAGGGCAGACGTTTTTGCACCATGCTTTCCCAGTTTCTCACTGGTAACTAAGCCAAGCTAACAGCTCCCACCAGTGAAGAGCAAACTTCAACACAAGGCAAGAAACAGCACAGGCAGGAGGGATGTCTGTGGGCTGCACAAGGGCTGTGCCTGAGAGTGGGCTGCAGAGTGAGGGTGAAGACAGCCTGAACCAAGTTAACCAGTGGCTGAATATAAGGCAAAAATACCTAAACATCAAACCTATTTAAGTGGCTTATGGCAGGATACAGTCCTACTGTAGCAGGAGGCAAGCATAACCATGTCTTGCGCTTTAAATCTTCAGTGATCTGCACTCACAACCCACAGAGGTTTTTTCCCTTCTGCCAATGCCCATAACAGTAAAATCATGCTGACAGAGTCACCTCCCAGTACTTGATAGCTGCATGTAATCCACTCACTCTATCCAGCCCCCTCATCCCCATACAGGTAATTTAACCCTTGCTGGCACCTCCGCCAACAACTTTAACTGCAATTTGCACAGACGAAGACTTTCGATGACTTTTTGCTACACCACACAAGTTCCCGAACAATACAGCGAGAAACAGCCATACTCCAAGGACAGAGTTAAGGTTGTGCAGTTATCACATGTAGGAAGTGTCATTTTCCCATTGCATCTGCTGTTTTCCAAACATTTTTGCTCTTTTAGATTATAGCAGTAACGTTTGCTTCAGGAATCTGTGTGGGAACCGTGGCTCAGAAGTGCTCATGGGGTCTGGTAAGCACAGAGTCCTGTTGTGCAATCACTACCAGAACTTCATGGCAATGATGCTTATGGGTACAGCAAGAACGCTGTTTTTGGGAACAAGGTCAGCGGAGAAACTGAGAAGAAGCACAGAAAGGCAGAAAGTGCTGAAATTTTGGCTTGGGGGGAGATCCAGGCACAGTCTGACTCCTATTTTCTGCCACATCTCCTTCTCAGCTCCCCGTTGCTGCATTCAGCAGAACAGCCACCACAGGCACAGAGTAAGTTATTGTAGAAACATTAGGGAGCTACAGCTCGTTTTAGAAAGAGATTTTTCTCCTCAAAAAAGTTTCAGAGTTATTGTTTTCTTTCCAAAATCTTACTACATCCTTTATTATCAATTCCCCTGGAGACCTTCCTTCCTCAGCAAATAAAGCCTTCAAAGTCACTTGGCAACCTAAGTATGGTGGGACTTAATGTGATCACGTACATGCAATGGAAGGTGATCATTCCCAGTTTGTTAAACACACTTCAAAACTGCAGCTGGGTGTCTTTGCCTTCATGGACGGCTCCTGGAGGACTGCAGTGGTGGGCTCACACATTGATCCAGGTGGAGCTTTTGGGATGCTGTGTTCTGCATGCAGCACTTCCCTGCTGAGCCCTCCAGCCACCGACTCACCAAGACAGTAACCATGAGCAGAAATCAGGGCTGTAAATACAGTCAAACTGAATGACAAATGCCTCGGTGTGGTATTTCTTTCACACTGTGGTGTTAGCACGGTGAGCTGTTCTGCTGGCCTCAAAATTCACCGAGGTGGCATGGGCAGTATACCCCACTGAGAATTTAGGGATTTTTAGGTGGAGGTAGCCTTGGACAAGTCATTTAGTACTTCTTTTCATTAACTCCACATGTCTGGATTTGAAAAGTGAGCCAATTTCTAGGCTCACACCTGCATCTGTGGCACACGTTTTCAAACCAGACTCATTCCAACTAAATATTTTGGACTCCACAATGCTGTTCAGCTGGTGGTAAATCCCCCTGAAGAAATTCCCACCCTTGCCTCCAGAAGATGCCACTTTCTCATCCGTGCCAACTGTGTGCAACTCCTTGCTTGAGAGCACTCTCAACTGCAAGAGGATCCTGTTAACACCTCTCTCCTTCCCCCACCACGTGTATTTTAAATGACAAAAGGCTTCTAAAGAGACACTGTTTGCAGATGCTTCCAGACTGTGACAAGAGACATGGTGATGGGACAGGCATGCTCACAACAGCAGGGAGAACAGGGCACAAACCTCTCAGGCCAGCCTAGCTGCCACAACCTATGCTGGGAGCTTATGCGCAAACGGCTTTTTTGGCTTTGGCTGTACATGAGTACGTCCTTCATGCCAAGTATGGAGAAGGTGGGATGAAATGGATGGAGCGCTGTTACCCTTCTGTACCATCTCAGAATCTCATCTCTCTCGCCCAAACCATCCCTTGCCCTTGAAGCATCACAGCTGCTCCTGCTTCCTTGCTTCATCCCTGAAAACAGGAGACAGTCCAAACTGACATTCCGTACCCTCCACAGAGCTGCTGCTCAAGGGTGCTCAGAGGCACACTCCAAGCAAAGCACCCTGTTAGTAGCCTCTTCAGCACAGTGAGACCTCTGAAACCTGGCATGCCAAGAGCACAGAGGTAATTCCCTGTGCCCAGACCATCGGTATAAATGAATTGAAAAGCAAACTGGGATGCTACAAATGCAGCCAAAGTCAGTATTTGTGCATAAAATTCAATGCCAAGTATAAATATTAACTTGAGTTCCTCAGCCCCTTTGGTCACTGTGGTAAAATATGCATTTTTGTAATTCTGCATCAGATGTGCGTAACTTCTCAGAAGTGACTGCTGCCCTGAACAGCCCAGAGTGTAACCGCTAGTAAATGACTTTTCTGTGGATTTAATAAGGAGTTTCTTACATAGGAGTTGGAATTGGGCTCAGGACACAGGTCTCTCTATTAGTTTAGCCAGAGCTAAAAGGATCAGAAATGATGCTGCTGCTCTCTGGGGCAGGGAAGTTGTGTATCACCACACAATTAGCACCTTTTAGTTGAAGTGGGTGGCAAGGGAAATTAGCAATTGAGGATAGAAATGGTGAACCAACTACACTAAAGCACCTAAAAGCCAGCATTCATTTCACTGTGTCCTGAAGGGAATTAAATGTGTTTGGCCTTCCCAGGAGGAAGAGAAATATCAAGAAGTGGAAGAAAAAGGAGCTGTGTGAAAGCCAGTGGACTTCATGCAAAGTAGTATAATGCTTGCCACACTATAAGCGCATCCTTGGCAATGGAAACAGGAGCCTATATACTCGGAAACCTGAAAGTCTTCACCACAGAACAAAACACCAAACCAGAAAACATGCATTGGCCAGAGACACTGGTGGCCAACTGCATCATCTCTTGCTCTTAAAGCACAGCATTAACTGCCATGGGCTTCAGATGCTGCTGCCAGAGAGGAGTCAGGGAGAAACTACTCCTGGAAGTCTCACTTAGCACTTGATAGCATCTTTGAAAATGCAGCCCTGGCTTTGTTTGTAAGCTTTTGGGACAAGCATTGTGCTAGGGATTGTGTAAACACAACTGGCTGATGGATGGCCCTGGTGCTCCACAGAGATTTATGCATGCTTCGGCAGAATGTACTGAATTAGCAAGCTTCTCAGATTAATACAGGGGCACTGAGAGACTTTACTGATAACCATGGGAGAGAAAGATAAGGAAGAGTTACCACACAGTGTTCCATTTTCCAGACATCAATAAAGACTCAGATGTGAGATACTTTTAGCTGTGCTGGGAGCACAGACATGGTGAAGGTGGCAAGGGATGAAGCAAGGAGAACCGTGAAGCTGGAAGATCACTGGTAGAGCTTCTCAAAAAATAGCCTTGGGATGAACATTACTTGGTATTTTCCTTAGTGACCACATTAGGAAAAGAAGGGATTGTTCTCATAACCTGAAGATGAGAAGCAGAATGTCACATTGGAAGAAGATAATAACTTTGAAAGAGAGCAAAATGGAAATAGGATGAAATACAATTTAGGCAGCTGGGTGCCTGTAATAAAGCTTTCTGACTCAGAGCAGAAGCTCATTGGCATGGCACACACGAGGGAGAAGACCTGTCTCAGGTATTTGCGTACCGCTATTGTGACTTTGCTCCTGAAAAGGTCAGTGTTAAGGGTATCAGAAAAAGTACCAACGAATAGAGAC